GGAGGCGCCTGCCGCGGCGCTGCCAGAGGAGCGCGCTGCCGACGATGAGCAAGTGCTGGATACCCCTGCTGTGCCGCTGCCCGAGGAGCGTGCTGCTGATGCTGCTAGTGACGTTCAGGTGCAGAACCCGCTTGCTGATGCAACAGATATAGTTGCCTACACCAGTGTGTACCAGGTTAAGGACGAGTCCGCCAGGAGCACCATTATGTTCGTAGACACAGCAGCGTCTAGCCACATGGTTAGCGCGGATTCCTACGCATCTCGCCACGTGACCGAGAAGTCGGACTGCAACGTGAGGATCAAAGGTTCGTGTGGAACGTCGAGCGCGGCTCAGAAAGGTTTGTCACCATGGATCCAACAATTTACGTGCACTATAAACCTAGTTCCGGTCACTTCATGCCCATGTTTCGAAAAACAGTAGATTCGTGAGCAGATTTTGAACAAGCTAAACGCATCAATTTTTACCAACCGGATGTAGTGTGCCTGTACAGCAGTGCAGCATACCTGTGTACCTACGCAGTAGACTACGGCAGCCACATCATTATGCAGTAGCCATGTGCCTGTACAGCAGTGCAGCATACCTGTTTCCTACGCAGTAGACTACGGCAGCCACCTTTGTATTTACACCAGTATGTAGGCCACGTGCTTGTACAGCAGCTGCAGCAGCTTCTCAGTTTAGTTTGTTCACATGGTTTCTTCGTAAGACTTTAGAGTTCGGCGCGATTCGTATCGTGTGTGCGAACAGTAGCTTCGGCTCCAGCCGCACGCAACAACCGTCAAAAATGGGGGCGAATGTGGCACATCAAACAAACGCCCTTGCGTTGCGGCCGCCACCGCTTCCGACCGGCGAGGCGGCCGCTTTCGTGCCAAAAACCACGGACTGTGTTTACGTGAACCATCGGCAGCAGCAGAAGAAGTTCGGCAGGACCCTCTTTTAGACAGGAGTCGGGCCATGCGAGTTAAGGAACACAATGTTTACTTATCAGAATGAAACATGGATCGCACCCCACAACTGTCACTCCACTTCCCGAAAACCAACGTTTCAATAGCGGGCCGGTACTGTAACCAAGCGCGAAACACAGTCTTTGCTGGCCGCGTTCAAACGGCCGAGATTAAGATACTCTCTGTCAAGTAACCAAGCAAAGATCATGAACAACAACATAAACAACATCGTGATCGACGCAAGCAGCGGAGATGTTGCAGTCAAATCTATGATCAAGAACATCATGCCGAACCTAAGCGAAAGCGGCATTCTCAAAACAGTGCACCGCGTCCTCGGAGATTGCAACGGCCCAAAAATGTCCACGCGTCTGATGAATGGGCGGCTTGCGTGTGCCGCGACGCTCGAGCTGTGCTTTGAGATTCTCGATACAATGACCGGGCCTCCGTGGCGCAAATGGCGTTCGGAGTCGGGGAATGCGTTCAAAGGGGCGCTGCGCGAGCGTGTTGAGAGCGTTCGGTCCGCTAGCCAAACAGAACAACTCCAACTCCAGCCACCACCACAGCCACAGCCACCGCAGCAAGTCGGGATAAAGACGGCCGTCCTACAGAACGCTCTCCGATCCATCAACATACACGGCTCTGTGCGCATCGACGATGGATTAGGGAAAGCGTCCATCATCGACACCGTGCGCCTGATATCCCCAACGGCCTCTCCCGAATATGCTGCACAGATGTTCACACGCGTCCTTCAAAAGGAGCGGGGGGATTGCGGAAACACTTCTGTGCGAGACGAACAGACGCCGACGCCCATCGCCGACCGCGTTGACTACATCAGGATCAACGGTCGTGGGAAGGTCACCCCCGTAAGCGACGCCAAAACCATCGTCGAGATCATTTGGCTGCTGCCCTCGGGCGCGGCCAAAGAATTCAGGCGCCAGTCAGCCGAAACTATCTGCCGTGTTTTGGGAGGAGATATCAGTCTTTGCGGAGAAATTGAGCAGCGCTGCGCCCGCCTCCAGAGCACCGAGGAAGGCAGGGCTTACCAATCCTTTATGACTGACCAGGGTCCCGCCAAGAAGCAGCGAGCCGCCATGCCAGCCCGGTTCGAATATGCGACGGCTGAGGAGAAGAGAGCCTACATTTCGATTGAGGCTACGACGAGCAAAGTCTTGGCCAAGAAAGCCTTGGTCCTGAGATATATTGACGTGTTCGAGACATGCAAGGAGAAGCTGAAGTCGGTTGGACAGTTCGACGAACGCGCTCAGATTGAGTTTGCAGATAGGATCAAGGACGTCCAGCGGAGGGCGACGAGGGTCGACAACATGATTACCGCCGCGCCTGCTGTCGATACTTCACCAGTTTCCGTGTGTGTGGCTATGCCGGTAGACGACACCATCGACACGGAGACGGGTCTGCTTATTGAAACCCCGAAGTGTAGCCCGAGTGTTCGGGGCCCGGAGACGTCGATTTGCGTCGAAGCTGGGAAAATGGGCATTGGTGTGGGCGAAAAAGCCGGTCAGGTCGGCAAGGTTGTTAAGCGGCTGTAATCCGAGCGCTACGGACAGGAAGCTGGTCGCAATATACCCAAGCGCAGCACCACGTTTAGGGGGAAGCCCTTCAGTGAAAACACTTACTATGCCCGTGATTCGAACCTGATTCAACGTGCCATTGGCGTCTTGTGTGCCCCGGCGGCGACGCCCTGATTTGTTGCCAACAGTTTTCGCGGTGCTGAAAGGCGTGCACCGCGTCTTGAAGGACTCCGGCGCCTCGGTGGACACGACCCTCATCAACGGACGTTTCACCAAAACAGCCACGGTTGACCTTTGCTGCGATATTCTCGACAATATGAGTGGTGTGAAGTGGGACCAGTGGCGCCAGTCGTCGGGTCCGGCCTTCAAGCGTGCTCTGCGCGAGCGCGTCGCCAGCGTTGTCTCCTCCGGTCAAGTCGAGCAAGCTCACCCCCCGGTGCAGCAGGTGGAGGAACAGCAGGTGGAGGGAGTCGAGACGAAGGCAGTCGTCCTGCGCAAGGCGCTCAGGGCCATGAACATCGAAGGGTCGGTTCGGGTTGATGAGCGGACGGGGATGGTTTCCGGCATCGACGTCATCAAGATGCTGTGCCCCGAGAAGAACGATGACTACGCCAAAATCGCCCTTGCCCGTATTATTGCTAGGGACGACCGCGAGCCATCAATCAAATCCCGTGTGTCGTACATCAAGATTAACGGCTCCGGTCATAAATCACCTGTTACCGACTTCAATACACTGGTGGAGATAATTTGGATGTTGCCCGCCGGCGCCTCCCGAGAGTTTCGTCGTAAATCTGCGGAAACTATTTGCCGAGTGATGGGGGGAGATCTATCTCTGTGCCGTCAGATCGAGCAGAACGCGTTGGGGTGGAATTGTGTCGACGGGGGGGAAGCCATCCAACAGGCTTTGCTTAGGCCGGTGAAGAACATTGAAGACTGTGTGACAGAGAGGGTGAGGGAATGCGTCGTTAGAGACGCCCTCGCTTTTGTTGTCGGTGGAACAACCGAAGTTGAAACACCTTCGGGATACATCGATGTTTTGAGCGAAACTGAAGTGATCGAGGTGAAGTACTATCGGAATTGGAAGGAAGGGCTCGGACAGGTGCTCCCGTACCAGTCACACTACCCTCGTCTGTCCAGGCGCCTGCACCTTTTCGCACATAGTGTGTGGTGAGCACATGGTACAGGTTACTTTCGAAGAGGTTGCGGCACAACAACCAGCGCTTGATTTGGAAAGTGATGAAGTGAGCACCGTCGTTGGCCATGAACCTGGGATGGGTTCTGGGGAAGAGAGGGTGTGTACCCAAGTTGTCGAGCAAATGCAAGATAGCCATGTGCATCGACCTACGCGGCTAACGGAGCCATTTTGGTTTAAATATGCTTCGATTGGTGAGAAGAGGTCATACGCTTCAATGGAGGCAAGCTCAATGACAGTTAACATGCTAATATGTTGTAAAGAGAGGTTGCAGTCGGTAGGGCGCTTTGACGAGGTTGCCGCTAGCGAGTTTGCGGACGGGATCAGGCGCATCCAGCGCCGCGTGTCATCAGAATAATGAATATCCGATGACCCACGGTGCAAAGTTTACTCAAAACTTAAACACACGCTATAATTTGACTTCTTCGTGCATGCTCGGGCATGTGAGCCTTCTTATTTTGTGTGACCATCGGCGCTATCGCGGCGTGTGTGAAAAAAGTATGGCCTCTTGCGCGAGGGCTCGTGGGTTGCGAGAGAAGCCATTTTGAGTAGCGGCAGCGCGGCGGGTGATAACTTTAGCGCCATTTTGCGGCCATCCCCTGTGCGCCTGGGGTTGCCGGAGTCGCGATGAAGCACCGTTGGTACGACTGCCACCGCCGATTGCCGCCACTCGGGCTCGGGTGGCTACGATTTAAGCGAGCGCGACAGTGCGAATTATTGATTCGGTTTTACCGCCCGCTACACTCTACATTGTACGAACATCGCAACTTCAAACGAGGCCCGCAATCACACGATATCCACTGCCGGGCGTGAAGGCCGACTGGGGTTGATCAAAGCCCCATCCAAACCCGGGGTCATGCTTGAAAGCTACGACCGTCAGCCATCGCATCATGGAAGCCAACTCATCAAGCTTCGCGACTCCCGCACCACACTTGCCTTCCTTCGACAGCGCCGCTGAGCTTGAAAGTCTTATATGGAATTATTCAATCGCAAACTCTGTTCCTACAGCGCTCGGTGGACCTACGCTCACCCCGAGTCATACATACACTCGCGTACCACCTACCGAATCACTGCACTACGGCCCCAAACCGCGAGTCGTCGATCTCTAGCTTGCGCTTCCTCAACACAGTAAACTTGGAAAAGAGATTGTCAGGGTGCGACCGTAGGACGTTCGCTCTCGTCGTGCTACGATATACCCGGAACGCACACTGAATCTTCGTTGCCGACAGCTGCTTCCTGGCCCTGTACTTCCGATACATGTTCCCCAGCAAGTTGGCGAGAACCTTTCTAATGTACTGTTGCGCGACTACAGGAGAACGTTCGGATACCGCGCGGACCATGTAGAGCGAGGTACCAGCCCGTATACATTCGTCTAGAAAACATTCGAGACTTTCCTCTATCTGGCTATCAGACCACAATAGGGTGTAGTTTCCCGAGGTGAAATGTTCACCGAAGAATTCTTTGCAGCTGTACAGCTCGCAAAAATCATCCTGACTGTATCCCTCAAGCAACCAGTGGTACAGCGGATAACCTGAATTCAAGGAAATTTTAATGTAACCGTTAACGATCATCCCGTGGACGGCATCCTTGATACGATCGTCTCGAACACTTGAATGAGGCATCATCAACCTGGATTGTATCCAGGTTGCCCACTTGGAAGCGTCGTGGGGGACACACAACAAACCATGATCACAATTGTCATGCCACTCTGGTGTTGCATTATATCCCATGGAAACCATCCAATCGGCAACAACAAACGCTTCATGGTGTACTACCACCGCCGAAATAATCTCCTGCTCTTCGATGCACATGCCGTCTTCATCATCATCATAGCGGACCAAGCGACTTATAAGCTGGTACTCATCCGACCAGCTGTCCAGTGGTCGTCCACCGATAATGCCCGAAAGGAAGCCTTCGTGAGACATCTCAAAACTGATTTAGTGCAAGTTGGAGGGAGGTGAGGTGGTTAGTGTGCCCGGTGGAGGGAAATCAAATCAACATTGTCTGTGAACATATACATATACTGAACCCCCCCCCCCAACACCCCTCGTGTAAAATCAGTCCTGTAAGCTTGGCCCCGCTCCATTCCGAACGAATAACTTTCGTGTGGCTTTGACATCCGAGCTCACACACCAACCATGGCTCCGCAAGCAACAAAGCGCGCGAAGCTTTCATCGAGTGCAGGACTTACCACTCTCTTGAGAGCTGGATTCGATCCTTCGGATGTTGCCACACTCTCATCGCGCACCAAGGTTTCGTACAAATCCCCCGTGACCTTGAAAAATGTGTTCGACAGGCCGACCGAGTCTCAGGTTAAGATTTTCTACCGTTCGTGAAACCACAGCGGGGTACCATTCGACCGCCTATCCGACGCCGAGAAGCTCACCTGGACCGAATCTCTCCATGACAACAGCTGTTTGATGGGATATCTCGTCTATTCGCAGTTGCTCCCATGTGCCGCCGAGAATCGATTTAAGCTCAAGTCAGGAAGCGCGCACTGGAACGAACTGAATGTCTCGACAGACAGGGCAAGACTGGAGCAATGCCGGGCCGCGTATGACAGGCTACGGAGGAATGGGTCTACTTTCTCCGCGTTCCACGGACTCCCTTACAGCGTGGACATGACGAAAAGCGTGTTGGAGTACATGGAGATAGATTTTGAACAGAGCGACTTGAGGCACATTTTTTTCTTTGGCCGTGAGTTTGCTATGAAGTCATCGGAGCACGGGAAGATAAACGCCAGCTCGGTGTACACCTCGTGCTCTAAAGCATTGTCTCTCATGTACTTCACCGTCGTCATTCTGGGGCGGCCGTGCTGTCTCGAATCGGTCATATTGCCACTGTCCGTGACGGAACGCTCTGTCTTGGAGCAGACGTGGGGTTGCCCGGGGACGCATCTTGACGGCCCCATCAACAAGTTTCAGACGAATTGGCGCGAGGTTTTCCGTGCGATCGGCACGCCTCACAGGAACATCAACTATGTGTGTCTCGAGAGAGCCACGGAGGAATGTTATATCGGTGGAAAACACGTAGCTGATTGCTTTGCTTTGTACAATGCAACTCGTTCAGCTCCGGGGGACGCGAAGACCGTCACGGCGTTGGTCAACCACTACAGGCTAAATTCCAAGATAGGCGTCGAGTCGGGTGCTGTCGTGTTCGTTCTCGATATGCTAAGGGAAAAGCCCATGGAAGCCGTCGGCAAGATCGACGGCTCTGTGCTGGGGGCGATCACTTCAACCTACGGGAAGAGGGTGAGCCTCGACGTACAGGCGAGGTGCCTCGGTCTGCAAGCGGGCGAGCACTCTCTGTTTGACTTCTCTGTGAGCAACAAGCTAGGGGAGATCATCAATCACGCTGACATGACGCTCTGGAAGGCCAGGAAACGACTGAAAGTCGAGCTGAAGGTCAACGACAGCCTGGACCCGGCGGACATGAATAAGAAGATCAGCGAAGGCAAAATGCTCGATCCCTGTGACCCAGCATCGTCGGAGAAAATGCACGCAATGCTTCAGTCGATATCGGGGCAAGTTTGGCGACCGCTCAAGACCTTGATTGGAGAGACTTTCGGGGTAAGCATGGATCACCCATCCGCGTTTCTACGGATATCCGACAAGGAGGCACACCAGCTATACGAGCACGCCAGCAGAAAGGGTATGGTCTACACCGATGTCGCCAACTTTAATACGCTTCTGGTCTTGAGCAACAGTTTCCAAAGATCCCAGGTTTTGCGCGAGGCAACGCTGAACGAGTTTGGACTTGTCCCAGACGGTACCTTCTACAGGCAGACTTTCAAGGATCGTGCGTTCAAAACTGCCGGCGCGTCAAGCGGTTCACCGCCCGTGAGTCACTTCAACCTCTCCCCCGGTCAATCCATGATGGTACATTTCATTGCTGTGGTCGGCCACCGCTTCTGCAATGCGAACATGAAGAACGATAAAAGGAAGCTGCTTCTCAATCCGAAGGGGCAGGGGTATGCCCAGAATGACATTAATTCGCCGTTCAAAAAGATTGGGGCGCACTGGCTAGGCCTTCCCAACTTCTGTGTTCACACGTGTAGAACCTTCTGGGCTACGGCCGCCTTGTATTCGTGCCAGGTCGATCCCTCGAACATAGAGGATTTTGGAAGCTTTTTGCAGGTGCCGAGTTCCACGCTAAGGAGTAGCTATATGTCGGCCGCTGGGAATTCGGCGGCTCACAAGCTGGTTTAACGTCTGGAGACGATGGCATATTCTTCACAATTCATTCTCCTCACTTACCAACTCACTCGCACACACCACACACAGATACACGTCAGGTACTCTTCCACGACTCCCACTTCCATCCCGCGACTTTACCCTCTACTGCCCCAATTTTCGTGTCGAAACAAAGGGCATGCCTCCGCGCCTCGAAAGAAGCTCGTGAGGGCCATCTGTTCGAGGGTGAACGTAGGGATGTAAGACGAGTTCAGGACACATGGCCGACAAACTCCATCTTGTAGACAGACTACTCGCCGTCCTGTCTCCAAGACGACCACCTGAATCCATCGGTCTGATTCTCTACTTTCTGGACCAATTCTTCGAAGCCCTTGGGGTATTTCCCCACCCCGTATACTGTGTGCTTCGTGAACCAGTCCCCCGCTTTGTACTCTTTGTCTTTTTCTATTACAGAGGAACACAGTGAACAAGACCAAAATGATCTAATCAACGCACTCGTCCAATAATAGACCTCTCATGTGAATGAGAAGCCTGGCCTTACAATCTGCGTCAATCTACTGGCCATGCCCCAGAGGGACTACTTTCTGTCCCCTTACTGACCTCTCAGGAGATGAGTTGGCCACGACTTGCGAACTAACTNAACCAACCCACAGTATCCCGCGAGACAAAAGTTGAGGGTGGCACTCGCATCCCTATCACACCTAAATGCCACCCCGTTTTCGAAAAGAGGACAGGGATTTTCAACGCCCACGCAAACAGTTGTACACTGTCGCACACGCTGACCACCCTGAACGTCAGTCATCTCCCCACCACACCCCCCGGGGCACATCTTGGAAGTTCTGAACTCGTCCAACATCCCCACATTCACCCTCGAACAGATAGCCCTCACGAGCTTCTTTCGAGGCGCGGAGGCGTGCCCTTTCATCGCCCTGAAGCTCCCGTTCCCGAACAGAACGATGTTCTTGCGGTCGGAAGGGCACGCAGCTATGTTCGAAGCCAGCTTGTCAACAGTCTTCTGTACAAGCCTCGATGAGTGAAACCTCGACCTCTTCCTCGCCCTCTTCATCTTTTCCGCGAACATAACCTTGAACGTTTCAGCCGCCACACGACAGTACGCGAGAAAAGACGACTTTCTGGCTGTCTTCTTCTTGACCGCGGAAAATCTGGGGAAACACCGCCCGTACTCGTCGTTCGATCTCCGCTTCTTCTCTCGCCCTTCTAGCATGGTCCTACCAGACTTCACGGAGTACTCGGTTCCCTTCATTTCCCAGTCCGTGCTTTCTCGCGAACGCTCCCGACAACACCTGCAGAATTCCAGGGGACACGACCTCACAGAAACCACTGAAGCGCACCCTGGATCGACGACGGTCAGGTTGTTTGCATGAACTCGGTCAGCGACTATCTTCCGGCTGTCCTTTCTCGCCTGAGAGAGCACGAACAAGCCCCTTTCTTGCGTTTCCAGGGAGACCACCTTCTTGGCAATCTGATACCCAGACTTGGCCAGATCTGTTGTACCAGGAACGTGAGGCTTTTTGGATACCAGGGCCATAAAGGTCACCTGAACCTGGTAGCCGTCTGACCGAAATCCCGACGGCTTGTACCCTTTCCTATTAACCCTCCTAAGGTCGAAGTGCTCGGAAATAAACCTTGAGACGGACGAGAAGTCGTGACCCTCCTTGTGAAAAATGCTCCCGACCACGGAAGAAGAGTAGTGCGGAAAGCACGGGGCTAGCTTCCAGACAGGGAGGACCGTGCACGTCTTGGGTCGATCCACCAGTCCTCGCTTGATCCTCTCTGACATGTAGAAGGCCTTCCTCACTTTTTCCTCGTCGGATCTCGTCTTCGTTTCCTCTCGGAGGGCCCTATTGTTGTCGGACGCCTCCTCGGCAACGTTTGAGATCATGCTGATCAGTTCGACGAACAGATGGGTCTTCTTCTTCAAGATCTTGAGCACTGGTACGTCCGGTTCGGTTGCGTAAACTTGTGCGAGAGGGTCCCTCACTTGTAGCACGTGGGGTACGTACCCAGGATCGAGGTCTCCTCTCATCTCTCGTTCCAGACAGTCGTTTGACAGAGAGACGATAATTCTCGATCGATCCTTCGCGGGGAGGTGTTGGAATGCCAACTGGGAATCGTTCATGAGCCTGAACCTCAGGAACCCCTTGATCTTGGCCTCCAGGTGCACGACAATAGAGTTCTTGGCAGATACCTCCTTTTCTCTCGTGACTGTTTCTTGGAGTCGACAGGGGACCTTGGGAGGGAAGAGAGATGTGTCGAAACCGGATTGGTCGATGATTTCGTCGAGTAGGTCGGAGAAGTCGTTTCTCGTGTTCTTTCCGGATATGCGGATGTTGATGGCGGCCCAGCACCTATCGTAGAAGACCTTCTTGACCTCAGGAGGTTGCAGGCCCTGTTCGAGTCTCCTGATGACGACGCAGTTTGAGAATAAACCAACGATGTACCTGAAGGACCCGTTGTACCTGGACATTCTCTCGAGGCGGTCTCGAATGTACTTTGGCATCACAGATTTCACCAGAATTNGGCCCAGCACCTATCGTAGAAGACCTTCTTGACCTCAGGAGGTTGCAGGCCCTGTTCGAGTCTCCTGATGACGACGCAGTTTGAGAATAAACCAACGATGTACCTGAAGGACCCGTTGTACCTGGACATTCTCTCGAGGCGGTCTCGAATGTACTTTGGCATCACAGATTTCACCAGAATTCTCTCGAGATCCAGACATATACACGACTGTCTCGTTGATCTTGAATCCTCATCGCCTTCTGCGCGTAGCGATTGTTCCACACCGCTCTTCCGAGTGCACCTTTTCTTCGCGCGTGGGTCTGGATTTGTCGGTGTGGACTTCCATGTTGGTATGTTATCCATCAACATTTTAATTCATGGTTCTCAGGCGCAGTGTGACTGCTGTAGGGCCAGGTTTCACGGTGAAAGTTATCATTTCAAACTGGGGGGGGCCGCGTGACTCAACCAGCCAGCGGGGCTAAGGATGAAATTCTACAAAGTAATTTTTTAGCCAAATCACGAGCCACCGAGCCTTGCCCCTTTGTGATGTTTTTTGAGTCCAAGGTATTGTTCGTTTGATCAGAAAAAACATCCCTATCGAAAGTACTCCTGCGGTTAAGTAGAGACCTGTTCACAGGGTGCAACTCTTGCGAATATGTTTTCCATCGTCGCATTCCAAAAGTTGAATTGAACCTAATTCTCTTTTTTCCTTTTTTCTGTTGGAACACGTTTGGACTTGTTAACTATGGTCCACCGTAATGGTAATTTGAATGCCAGTGGGAGCATTGACTTTGCGATACGCCCTCCATTCATGAACTTGTGGACATCGTCTTCTTGCTTGCCCGCAGCCTTGGCGTCGTTGTTCCTGAGCTTGGCCTGCGCGAAGGCCTTCCGGAGTGCAGCTACCACCGCTCTCACTCCATCGGACTCGTCTGGTGACACTTGCTTCGGCTGCCAAACGAGAAAATGTGCGTTGGGGTCGCGGTTAAGATTTGTGTAGCTCAGTTTAGTCAAGAATGTTGTCCAACTTGATTTTTGATAAAATTATACGGTCACGTACTCCCTCACCTTGGTTTTGTTTTTCCTCTGTGTAGCTTTAGCCACCCCCTTTCCCGAAACTGGCGCATCCACAGCCCCACCACTTCGTTCGCCGGTAGCACCACCCCCACCAACGTCATTGCGACCACCGATGGCAGCAACGGGCCTAGCCCCCGGATCAACTGTAGCTGCAGCAGCAGTAGCGCTCTGAGCTGGTTACGATCTCTCTACATTGTTCACCAACGCTATCCCTTATAATTAGGGACTCGACGTTGTCGTCAACTATCTGTAGGCAATAAATTGCAGGATTTTTACATCCCTTTCCAGATCTCTGATCGGGGTAACCTTCCCGGGTACTCTCTCTACTCAACCAGAGTTCTTAATAAAATACATCTACCACTGTGAATGTCTCGGTCACAACTGTGTTTACATTTCGGGCAGGTGAACACCTCTTCTGCTTTCATCTTCCAGTTGATAAAACCACATCTGTCACACAGCTTGGTTGTCAGTTGTTCAGGTACGATCGCAACTTTCTTCCCGTGGTCATTCCCGTTGTTGATCAATCTCTGCCTGAACTGATAGTGTTTCAAACTAGCATGCAGGAGTTTCTGATTTCGGTGTGATTTTGTCTTCATCACACCGTTCGAAAGTCTACCGACCATGATGATATCGTAGTTACGGACCAAGTAGAGGGCGACCTTGTTGTGCATCTCATTGACTAGGTTGGCGATCCTTTTGGATACCTTACGCCACCCCTTGGTCAATTTCGATTTTGACTCCTTCAATTTCTTGAGATACTCCCTCTTCTTGATGAGCCTTGAAAGCTTCTCTCCTGCTTCTTCGCCGATAAAGCCAATCGAACCATCGGAAGAATAAAACGATCCGAACTTCCGTGACCCCATGTCCAAAGAAACAACCCTGAGTCCGTCGGACTTGGGAGTGACGGGCCTTGTCTTCGTCACAGTTGCGTAGTAGACACCTCGGTCTCTCACAATTTCCGTCAGAATGCCATCATCGCTTACCAGCTCTTCTCCTAACAGGATATTTTCGTCGAACTCCTTGAAGGTTAGGTGTACACTAGACCCGTGTATACGAGAGTCTTTCTTTTGAAGACCGATCCTCTGTTTCTGATTGAACTTGCTCCGAAAGTGGAGGGAACCGGTTTCACGTGTTTCGACGCCTTTCTGTGCTGCGACAAATTGATCCACTGCTTTCTGCCTCACATGCTCCGGAGTCCTTAGAGTTTTCTCCATTGTCTTGTCCATGCACGGTGCTCTTATCGCCTTGTCCCTGATTTTAGATGTCGAGACACCGTCAATCAGCTTGCGAACACACTCGTTGTAGACTCTCCGGCCGTCGGACATGTACTTGGTGAGAATCTTTTTTTGCTTTCTCGTAGGATACATCCGGACCTTCTTCGCTCGAGTGGAATGGGGTTCGATGTCCGATAGCTTTTCCCGGATAGTCTCGACGAGGGCGCCTTGTGATTTGAGTAGTTTATCAATTGGTTCTTCACTGGCACCGGAGGGTTTGTCAAGTCTTGAATCGCTTGTCGGATCAAACCGAATTCGGCCATTTCAGTTTTGGAGAGGCTTTTGATGTGCTCCTTCTTCTCGATAAAGTGAGACGTCCGCGTTTTCTTTTCCAGGGTTCTTTTTTCCGAATTGTCTTGTATCCTTTGAATGAGCTGGTCCATTCTTTGACTCAGAAACTCCCGAAGGTGCTGCGTCAAGCGACTCGAGCATGACGACATCTTCGCAATCCTCAACTGAACCAGGGCTAACCGAAGATTCACCGTCTTCAGCGCCCCCCTCTGTATAGCGTTTCCTTTTGCCGGTGCTTCTTTTTCCATAGAGTCTCGAACTGAAAACGTGGACGACGGCCATGAGGTCCTCCATGAGTTCTGCCTCTGCAGAACCGTTTTCGTTTTGATTGAGAACCACGAGTTCTGTGTTGTTTTCGTCACAGATGAACTGGATGATTTCGAAAGCAAATCTGCACAGTCTGTCCTTGTAGGCAACCAGCACGCGATCGATCTGTCCCTGCATGATACATCGTAAAAGCTTTTTGAAGCCTTTCCTTTTAAAGTTGAGTCCGGATCCGATGTCAGATAGTATCGATATCCCCGGGCACGAATCTCTGATGAATTGTTCTTGTCTCCCGAGATCCTCTTTCTGCTTTGAGAACGACACTCTCGCGTATCCGATGTCGATGCGGGACGCGTTCTTTTTATCTTTTGCCATTCTTCTTGCACAAAGCCTTGCCTCCTCTGATCGGAGCGCTTGCGTTTTTTGGAAGGTTTCGATGTCGTAAACACGCTGACCACCCGGGGTTCTAATGGTCGGGATCGCTTCGAGCTTGTCCCATTTTCTAAGGGTAACGTTGGAGACCCCGAGGCGTTCGATGGCAGTCTTGGTGTTGACAAATGCCATGAGGCGTGCATAAACACCGGCAACATAATAAATCTTGTTTTTCGTACGAACGACAACCACATTTAATACCGAACTTCCGTTGAGTTACGCTTGTTTCAAGCTGCAAATTTATCGCCAGAACGATGAACGTGTGTGTGTTACACACGGACTCTGGACGTATAGGCACGTTTAACGTCCGGAGACGAGGTCTCGTATGTAGCAGACACTTTTTTCATTAACGTCCCGGATGCACAATTCTTTGGTTTGGGTCCTGTGCGCCATCGGGCGAGAGAGCGTCACTGAGAGAAGCCATGTTGATGGTTACGTGAAAATGACTGAACGTTAAACAAACGAACAACAACTCTTTTCTGTACAGATTTTTCATGAGGCGCTTGCCGCAAATAGTCGGAAGAGCAGAACCCAGGCGGGGCTTGGGTGTGTTGTTTACGTTGTCATGCTTGAGGAGGCGGAAGGCAGTGCAAGAGCGCCATATCTGGGCGGCAGCTCATGCCTCGCGTGGCGCGCTCGAAAATCATTATAATTTTGTTTTATTTTTCTCCCGACAACAACAAAAAATACCACATCCCCGCCTTGACTCCTCCCCTACGGAAACATCACACATTACTCTCTACGAAACATGCTGGTGAACGTCACACCGGACCACACGCTTTCCTCGCCGACTCTGCGTGACACGACACAAACCGCTAGTATTTCCGTAAGAAGGGAACGCCAAAAATCCAAAACCACACAAAAGCTGGTTGAACCCTACTTCGTACCCGCGCTTCTACAAATCCAAAACACACACCGTCGTCGACTACTCTTCCACCTGCTGCCTCATACGCAGCAACCATTCTTATTCTTTTCTTCCGATCTTATTCGACCACTGCTGCCAAGACGCAATTACTTCTTTATCGATTTAGAAAGCCATGCCGTCCACTTAAAATCAGTGCGTTCCTGTATTTTTCTCACTAGGTTACGGAATGGCCTGTCGTTCGTGTCCGTAGGATACTTGCTCTTTGTGTACCACTCTCCTGGTTCAAACTCGCCGTCCTTGTCTACCAAGAACTTGACCAATGGGCGCTCCGACCTGCCTCTGATTCCATGGTTCATGTATTCAAGAATCTCATCATGGGGTCCTCTTTTCTTCGCTCGTTCATAGACTTGCCCGATGGCTTCCGCGAGCTTCCGTACCCCGGCGCATGCATCGTCCTTCGGTGCCGCCTGTCGCGCGTCGAAAAAGAGGGGTGTATGTGTGTGTGTTACAAACCCACATTTCTACGAGATACACCCACAACTACAATAGTTCGTGAGTGATCTAAACCTCCCTATCCAAACTCACCGGTTTGTACTTCTTCTTGGTCTTGTCCTCGGTGCCCCGTTCTTTACCAGATGGAGCCCCATTCTCTCCCCTCCAGATACCCTGTATAACAAGCAAGGTGATCGGAGTTTGAGCATCACATTCACCACCCGGCACATCTCTCCTAAAATGTCAACACTCCCATCACGGGTAAGGCGCCCACCTTCTCGTCTCCTCCGACCCCAGACGAAGCGCCACTCTTCACCCCTGCAGCATCGGAGAGACCGTCGGCGACAACAGGGACGGTTGCAGCTCCAGACACATTGGCGCCACCTCCGACGGCAGCAACGGCACGTTCCTCTTTCAATTTCATCATTTTGATCCTGAGACGCTTTGCAGCCTCGGCCTCCTCCGCGTCGATGAGGTTATCGGGTTTCCGAGCATCCGAGATGTCACCGGTGACAACAGGCAGACCCGTGGCATCGGCAGAACCTATCCCAAACACGTCGGCCCCATCCACCACCTCTACCCCCAGGTTGTTGCTTTCAGATACCACTTCTTCACATGTGACGCGAATTCCGTCCTTCACACACAATTCCGTGGCCATTTTAAAGTACTTTAGAGCCTTTTCTCCCTCGTGCGCAAAGAGATGCAGGCGTTTCTTGTGTGAGGGATGGTGTTCTCCGTAGGCCTTAACCTGACCGACTCCACTTTTCCAATTTTTGAGGTGCTTGATCTCGATTACTTCGTCTCTCGTGAAAACGTCGATCGAGCCTGCCGGGGTCCCCCATTCGGTTTGACCTCGGGTGTGGCGAGCAAGCGCATACCTGACATCCTTCTCGCTAACTTTGTTTGACGCATTTTTTTTCGAGTCCACAATTGAGTTGTTCTCGTTTGAGGACTGTGCGCCATCGGGCGAGAGAGCGTCACTGAGAGAAGCCATGTTGATGGTTGCGTGAAAATGACTGAACGTTGAATAAACGAACAACTCTTTTCTGCACAGATTTTTCATGAGGCGCTTTCTGCAAATTTATCGCCAGAACGATGAACGTATGTGTGTTACACACGGACTCTGGATGTATAGGCACGTTTAACGTCCGGAGACGAGGTCTCGTATGTAGCAGATACTTTTTTCATAAACGTCCCGGAGCTTTCGCATACAAACACACGCCACGTACCATCAACTCACCTTCTAACTACACAGCGTCCCCGAACTGAACCATTCGTTCTCGTCTACTTCTCTGCGCACACCAATCAATCAATATTGCTGGCCGGACTCTTGCTGACAGACTCCACTTAGTTTTTCTTTCACTTACGGGAGAATCCAAGACAAGACGACCTCTACTTTCTGGACCAATTGTTTTAAGCTATTGGGGTAAGGCAGTTGCCGCATCAACCACTCACACTACACGACCAGATTGCGTTCAGACACGTCAGCTACGCCACGACTCCCATTCCCACCCGTCTACTTTCTTACTGACTTGTTCAACTTTCCTGTCGAAACTCGTCAAGCTCTTGACCTTGGCGAATTTACTACTGGTGTACCAGTCACCCGGCTGAAAAGCATCATCTTCATCTATCAAACAACGAACTAAATTGAGTCTTGCAGACTTCATGCGTCCATTCATTTTCTTGTACAGTTTGTCCTCAACTCCTCTCTTTTAAGCCCGTTCCCAAGCTCCGCCGACAGCCCGCGCCAGCTCTTGCATCCCGGTGCACTCATCCTCCGACGCTGGCTGTGTTTCGGGAAAGGGAAAAAGAAATGAAAACAAATCGGATGAAATGAGATTATATATCAATATATGTCTTCGTCCACCACATTTTAATCAGCTTTTCGAAACAACGACAACCAATCTTGCCCACGTTCTCACCTTGCTGTAGGACACGCCCCGACGCGAAGCCTTAAAAACACTCGCCGAAGATCCCCCAGTATCGGCCGCGGGCCCAGTAACAACGCGGGCAGTATCGGAGAGGTGCCTGGTGACGGCAGCAGCAGTGGCGCCACCCCCGACGGCAGCAGGAACGGAGGACAGTGCCCGTCTCGCTCGTATCGCGGCACGCTTCTCATCGACCTCTTCCTCTTCCAATTTCATCTTTTTCATCCTGAGCCGCTTTGCAGCCTCGGCCTCCTCCGCGTCGATGGGGTACGAGGGGCCACCATACGACGCGCCTCCCGAAGGCGGGGGCAGCGCACAGCCGTCGCCCGATTCCGGCTCGATGCTCATGCTCGACGAAGCCGGTGCTGTCAGTGCTAAGTCGTCATCACTCTCGCCCAAATCGTTGATGACGTTCTCGGGTACGTTTGGTGGCGTCATGGCCATCATAACCCTCACTTTCTTCACACAATCTGGAATGCGCCACAGCTGAGTGTCTGGAAACTCCGGAAGGCCCTCCCGAATCCTCTTCTCCACGCTCATGCGCCGAAGCCCCCCCTTGAAGTCCAGGTGAACTATGCCCCTTACTAGCGCAGCTACGCGGTCGAATTGGTACGTACAGTACGCTCCGAAAGGGTTCTGAGGTTGATGTTGAAACGAAACGAGAGAGTTTTCACAAGATAAAATAATGCACGTATGTGTTTGTTTGTGCTTAGTAGAGAGTGAGTGGTTCGCATGTTTCGCTTTCAAAATTACAGTCTCAAATAAATCAAAATTAATAAAAAACATATTTGAGATACACTACCGGTCCGCTCATAAGAAAGTCAGGTGGTAGTGTATGCGTCAACTGAACTTAATCTACCTTCTACCTCTCATTAATCACGCACCACGACACTCACATTTCCACCCGTTCGTTGCTCCCTCGCCAGTTCTAACAAAGCCGGGTGATCCGTGTTTGCCCCCGCTATTAACAGATCCCTGACGGCCTGCGAATCCTGCGCGGTTCTCAGTGCATAAATGTCCGCGTTGTCCGCTCCGAAGTACGCCCGCATGACCTCCTTGAAAAAAATTCCGAACGTGTCCGGTGTCATATGCGTGCCGTTTGAATTCAGCGGACCAAAACTTGCGTCCACAACCCCCCCGTTGTGTTGGCGTAGAAACTCCCGCCCGACGAAAAGCATCACCATGACCCACCGGACGACGTCGGCGCCATGGATCTCGTGTTCCCTCAGAACCGTACTGAGGTTTTTGTTCGCTGTTTTGCTTTGCTTTTCCTTTGCAGGTGGCCTCATCGCGACCCTGCCTCGCTCGTTGTTGTAGTACGCGGTGTTGGCCGCGAGGTTCAAGGCTGACCTTTCTCGGAGGCAGGCTGCGTTGAAAAGGCAGCCCAGCTGTGTAACCACGCTGAATCCGCACCAATGCCGTGGCTCCCATCCATCGGCCTTCAATCCATTGACCACCCCTGCGATCCACGCCTTATTCTCCTCTACCTCGCCCGGCGTGCGACCGAGAAGATGATCTTCTCCGACTACCTTGTCGAAACTACCAGATTCCAAGTTTGCGTTCATGAGAGAGGTGGCGCCCCGACGATCGAAACCACGCGAGTGCTTATACACGTCCTCCATCATTGGTCGCATTTTTTCGCCCATGGACATCTGGAAAGCCATAAGCAGCGTAAACTTTCTGTCGTCGGTATCGCCTTTCGCCTCCAGAATGACTCTGTCTCGGCGGGGACTTCCTCCCCTCTCCCCCAAGAGCGCCATATATGTCCGCGTTCCTGCCATCTCTACCAGCCCTGGACTTCTTGAAAATTCCCTCGCACTCTCCCAAAACTCCTTTCACGATGCCCAGGGAGGGGGAGCCTTTCATCACCTTGTCCAGGAGATCATCGTAACAACGTGTGTGACTAACGTGGTTCGTGTCCAGCGAGTTGAGGGCCAGCGCCTTGTACCGGTATGGGTCTCGAGTCCCGCAGGCATTGACAATCACCGGCGTCAAATAGCTGTAGAACGTCTTCGACCGCTCGACGACAAGTCTATGGGCCCACTCGTGCTCCTCTCCAAGCCCCTCCTTCCCGGTAACATGCGTGGACATGTCGTCAAAGTCTGCAGCTTCAAAGTTTTCCTCCATGTTCTTATCCCAAAACGGATGGGAGCGCCTCAGTACATCCAGCTCCTTCTCCGACAGCGGATGAAACGCTTCGACGATGTTGCTAGGGCGGCCAAGGCGGTACGCGCACATACACGCCCTGATGAGCGTCGTGAGCTTGGCTGCCCAGCTCTCGAGTTTATTTTTTCTGGAAGGTACCCAACCGGTTCCCCCGCAAACAACCCGGCCCGTGAACAAATGCCCGGACTGCACACCCGTCTTCTTTGAACACTCAAGGCCAGGCATAAAGTTGAGCTCCTTCAGGGACTCCTCGCGTTCAACGAAGGCTTTGCTGCCGGGGCTTGTTGTGTGTCTCGGGGGCAGGAGGTCTTGCACGCTGGCCTTGGCAAAGATTTCAAGAGAGAGCTGCCTGACCCTTTCCGTTTTGGTCTTTATTGCCTGGAGATTAACCAGCGATAGCTTGCTCTTTGAGTCTATCTTGTCTACCGTGGCTACCGCACCTTCAATTCCACCGTCCACGTCCAGCAGCATCCCATCACTCATTGTCTTGTCGCCCCCCGAAATGTACGGCACGATTTGACTCAGGGTGGTGGTGTGCGTGGCTGCCAGCTGTCGAATGTACCGCTCGACGTCCTGCTCTAGCGTCACGCCCTTCCCGTGTCGCTTTGACAGAAGCTTCCATTGGCCGATTATCTTACCGTCTTCCAGAACGTATTGACCGCTCCTGAAATTTACCACCTTCTGGATCTTCCCTCCTTCGAGTTGAACCTTTGTCCGCCCCAACACCACACCGATGTCCAACGGGATCAAAGACGTAGTCCAAGTCGTAGTGGGCTCGGAGTCGCTTCGTCTTAGACCAACGATTTTTTTCCTCCCCCCGCAGGTTTTTGACATCGTCCTCACTCAGCGAGAGCAGGTTTATGTTGGCTCGCGGAAAGAAAGTGTCCTTGAATACTCGAAATCCACCTTCCTTGCTCTTCGATAGCAGAGAAAGGGGACCGGCAAGATCCGTGATATACCCCACTCCGGCAGGCTTGCCCGGTGTGTGACCTGCCGAACCCTCGTGGTCTTTCCCTCTTTGCTTGGCAAGCTTGCGATTTGTTCGGATGAATTTATCCAAGCAGGGCAGGACCGGTTCCGTCAGCCACCGAGCAAGTTTCGGGCCGGTTACTCTCTTTTGCCCAGCTGCCTTCTGCTTTCGTCCTTGCTTGGCAACTTTCGCACCGCCACCGCCACCGCTGTCGCTGCCGCTGTTGCTGTTGCTGCCAGCACCGGAGTCTCCGAATCCATCGCTATCATCACCCACTTTCATGGGATCGACTCCTGTGTCACCTCCGTCGGCAGCGTCCACTTCACCATCTCCAGTGACACAGGTAGCCCTGAGCTTGGTGCCACCGCCTCCAACAGGGACACGGCGGGCCTTGTGTTTAACGCCAGCGACACCGGCGGCCTTGCCCTTACTGCCACCGCCATCGGAAGCGACACCGGTGGCCTTGTGCTTACTGCCACCACCATCGGAAGCGACACCGGCGGCCTTGCGCTTACTGCCACCGCCATCGGAAGCGACACCGGCGGCCTTGCGCTTACTGCCACCGCCACCACCAGCAAAACCGGTGACCTTGCGTTAAACGCCACCACCGCCACCAGGCACACCGGCGGCTGTGCGTGGTACATACGTGGGTCCCTGCGATCCCCTGACCTTGACGAGGTTGGCCTTGCGGGCTTGGGCCCGGAGGTCCTTGGCATGTACCGGTGCATCCAATATGCTTGTACAGGCGTCAGGGTCTTGGTCGTTTTCCCCCCTACCAGCTCTGTTGGAGCGCCGAACTGGTGCGTCGAAAAGAATGGAAAGGAAGGTTGAGTGAACTTGTGTCGACGTCAATCGTTCATGAAAAACGACGAAAATCGCTCAAAATCGATAGGAATCCGACGAAGTATGTAGCAATCCGACGAGCCTTACCGGCGGCCGGCGGAGCGGGAGTGGCTGGCGCTCCGGTGGCTTCCGAGCCATGCTTCGTCTCTTGCTCCATGTCCTCCCCCGTCACCTGGAAAAAGCGATGTTTGTGTTGAGAAGCTTGTTGAGGTGATGAACACGGCTCATGTGATCTCATTGAAAACAACTCGCTATCCCTACACTCATCGTCAAACGCACCTGTCCGTCCTGTTCTGGGTATGCACCCCTCGGAGGAAGCAGGTGCGCGGCCGGCGGCGACGTCCACCCATGCGTGCACGCTTGATCAGCCGTTTGCGCCGCAAGGCCGCGCGGCGGCGTCTTTCCTGGCGGCGACGCGGGCACCGGCGCTTCTTGTTCTTCTTCTTCGTCGTCCTCCGCCCGCTGCTGCGGCGCACCCTGGAGTGCTTCCGGGGCTGCGTCCTGGTCCACTCGGACCACACCGACGGGAAGAGGCAAACCTCCTCCGGGCCCCGCGTCCGGACCTCCTCCTCTTCATCATCATCGATGAGGCCCCCGTCATCCGCGAAGAAGACCGCCTCTTCATCATCTCCATCCTCATCGGCGAAGACTCCGAAACGGCCGTAGACGCTGTTGTCACGAGGGCGCTCGACAATGTCCTCCAACAGGTCATCTTCCGCCCAGGTGCAGCCTCGTGTGGAACCGTGGGTGGGATCGGGCCAAGTACGAGGCCACGGTAGCGAGTGGGGCTCGGTAGTCGAGTTGGTGAAGACGACATTGGTGTCGCTGTCATAGTCGTAGTCGTAGGGTCTGTATACGTCCCCACACTCGAGATTCGCATCGGCTGAGGCACGGAGCTTTATGCGAAAGAACGAACATAAAACGTACGCGAGAAGATCGGAAGGGGGGGGGGGTTGTTGTCTCAGTATTTTATCGTGTCATCAGCTGAATATGTAGAGCGTTGTTACTTCACGGACAACGCGAACTACACGGTCACACGTTGTGCTGTACAACACACCTTGGCGTCATCGGGCGTCGCATCACCCCGTGACGAGCTGGGGCTCGGAGGCGCGGTCGTCGTGTCGGAGAACTCGGTGTCGCTGCCGACGTCGGTGTCAAGGGGCTTTAAAAGAGCAGACGAAGACAAAGTTTGTGCGAGACAAAAGGGAAACAAAATTTTGTTTCAGTATTCGATAGATTCAATATTGTCAAACTTGCTGGAACACACCTGCGGCAGGAATTAGTACGGCCCCGCGCACGATTCAACACCCTGCGCACACCTTGACGTTGTCTCCCGTGGTGGTGGCGTCGTCGCCCGTGCTCGTGGGGTCATCGCCTGTGCGGGTGGCGAGTTCCGCCAGTGACATGTTGATGCGCTCCTCGATAAAGTCCAGCACATCGCTCTCACTCCCCACTTGGGTGGCTTCATCGTCATCCTTGCCCTAAAACGTCGGACAGAAGAAGGGAAACGTAAACGTGATGCACTACATATTCGGCGCGGTCACCTTAACACATCCGAACTCAACGATGTACAAAAAAAAACACATGCAAAACTCACGCCGAGTGCGACCAGAGTCCAGTGTCCGTCTTGGTGGATCGCCGCGCACTTCATGGTGGCCTCATCGACGTACTCTGGCAACACGTTGGCCGCCCGCCCCATGGCCAAGTCGATGCCGAAACCCTCGGAAAGTGCAAGGATAGCCCTCGTGCCACCGTGTCCCCCGCCACCGCCGTCAGCGTCCATGTACAAGACGGTGTCGCGGAAGTCATCCGCGTTGGTGACGTCCTGCCGGAAGTTGAGGGCCAGCCTCCTGATGTCACGCTGATTACATGCAGTCCGCGGTCCCCCAAACCCTTGAAGGACATTGGGGTTCTCGGTCAGGTTGAAGACCTTGATGGTCAGATGACGGAGAGCGGTTCGTACACGGAAGAGCCGCTCACTGTCTCCAGCTGAAAACGCGCGTTCAACAAGGTCAATGCCCCAGCCTTCCTCGATGGCGCATGCCTGCGCGACCACCTCGAGCCAGCAGTGCCCCTCACCACCACTTGACAGGCCACGCAGGTGCATGTTTCACCAGACAACTGCAAAGCAGAGACGGTACATGGAGAGATACGCAGGCAGGATGCATCAACAGACAGGTAGAAGAGATGCGCTAGGAGACTCGGTGGGGGGAGTGGTTGGGAAAAATCCAAAACGATTTTCAAAATTTCAAAACGGTTTTCATGGGGTAGACTTGGAGTGGTGCATGGATGGATGTAGATGCACGCCGGGAGTGGTGTGTGGATGGAGACAGGGAGCCGTGGAGCGGATATGGAGGTGAGAGGTGGTGTGGTGAGGTAGACGCACGTCGGGAGTGGTGCGTGGATTGAGGTAGATGCACACCGGGAGTGGTGCGTAGAGGGAGACAACGTCAACCCGTTGTAAGATTTTGAGCGGTTGTTGAGAGCCGGGCCGAGGCGGTGGTATGCAAACTAAGCAGATGAAGATGCGGGGAAGAACTTCGGCAGTAAGTAAGAAGGGGTGGGTGTGTGGGGCTGAGGTGGTGTGTAAGTAGGGGAGATGATGCTGAGAGAGTTGACTGGTCAGTCCTCGATCAAAAGTATGAGCGGTAACTGGGGGGGGGGGGACATTTCAAAACCGTTTTCAAAACCGTTTTGAAATGTTGAAAACCGTTTTGAAAATTTCAAAACGGTTTTGAATTGTGGCTTGGATCTTGAACTGCGCTAAACACGCCATCCAAGAGCCGAAACCCCGTCTATTTATGTGCTAGATGTTTGGAGGGGTGATTACTAGGGTTTAGTGTGTGAACCGTGCTTTTTTATTTATGCTTTGCATATGTACAGGACTGTGAGAGGGAATCGTGCAAAAACGTTAATGCCTGAGCGGTTCGATGTTGGCCCGTAAACCTGAATTTTCTCTTGCGTTCCTATTCGTTCAACGGCAAGCATTTAGACTATTTTCCCTCGAAATTCTCTCCTCATATTGGAGTGCGCGTAAGGAGCCCAATTTCACCGACTTCTGCACTTTCCATGTATCCGTGTGCCCGCAATTGAGATAGTCTACAATTTCTTTGAATGTCTCACGCCACGCATCCGACACTCCGCGTACGTATCGCTCCGTCGTGCTGCTCACCGCAGGTGTTCTCCGTAAGTAAAGAGAAAACGCGCAACGCTGCGATTGCTCTACATGGGGATTCTTTTCAAGTGGCCCAGCGGCGGCAGTTGGCGGGTCCTCTGCTGCGGCTGCTTCAAGATCCCGCCTTGGTGCAAATGCCGAGAGTGCTGGAACCTTTGCGTGGGCAGGTGCACTTCTTGGTCACGCTTTAAACCCAAAATTGTTTGTTGTTTGGAGTTGACGATATGATGGGTTGCGGGAAGGATCAGATGCACTACTTCTTGGTCGGGCATTTGGCGTGCTCTACACCCAACGTAATGTAGCGTTTGCCATATGACGGGTTGCGTGGTGGAGGATCAAATTTCGGCCTGTTTCAAAACCAGGTCGAAATAATGCCAAGGCGTGTTGGTCGTGCGACGTACGTGCGAGTCTACTTAGTCTGGTTTGCGTCAAATGCCCATTAGTCTAGGCATTCGCTTAGTTTATTGGCAATCTACCCCTCGATGTAGGCTGGTGGAGCATTTTTGGAGGCAGCCCGGCACACTCCAAAATAAGGCTTTGTCGTTTTGCCTGGGATACACTTTTGCATATCCTATCATGTCAAATGCAACAACTGCTTACCCCTCCCCCCCCCCCCC